CCAATGGGTCAGCATAGACGAGATCCTCCCCTGCACCTTTAAAGTACTTTACTAGAAAAGCATCCAAATCCTTAACAGACACTGACCCATTTGCAGTCTTGGGAAGTTTATCGAGTGCCTCCGCAGTGGTTGCAAGATTAAACTTTAACGATAAATCCACATAGTCTTTAGGATCAAAACTTGATTTCCCATAAGTTTTCAAAGCAGTTTCCTGGACGCGCTGAAGGAAACCAAGTAACGGGATTGTGGGAACTACAGGCCCAGAATCTTTACTACATGACAAAGGAGCTGAAACTGAGTTTACGGCAGACATGGGAGTCAGTGACAGTAAAAGAAAGAAAACAGAAACAAGAAAAAGAAACGGTTTTTCACAGTTGGTCTGAGACTGAAAGGAAGCCATGATGGCCAGAATTGTAAACGATTGAATGAGACATGGTTATTGACGATGACTGTAAGCGAAGAAAAACAAGACAAAAGCACGGTTGTTTTTTTTTTTCCTGCAAAACGTTGGCAATGAGAACTTGTGGTTGGCTAAGCTTGTCGTTTAAGGACGATAGTCAATTGGTATATGAGTATGTGGGCATTGGGTTGGAAGTGTTTGAGATTGACTGAAACCGATGGAGATCGAGGCGAGCCAAGTGGGGGAATGTGATTGGAGACTAGTAAAGTATATCAGTAGTGAATAAACCTTTTCTGTTAGGAACTGAGGACATGCCAGAGGAGAAAATCAAAAGCAAAGGCCAAAAGCAGGAATATAAGTAGCGTAATGCCTACATTTTTTTTAATTATTGAAAAAAATTTAAAAATTTTTTATTAAATTCAATCGAATCTTAACGTGACACGTCACATCTATTTTCAGCATCTTTGTGTTTACATTTGCATGAAATTAAGTTTTTAATTAAAAAAAAATCCAAAACTCAATCTTTCACCTGGCAACACATGTACTTGTCCTTGAATTAAGTGTTCAAATATTAAAATTAAAATATCACTTTTGTTCCTCGAAACTATTAACCCATTCTAGATATATAACAATTTTTAATTTGAAATTTCAACTTTTGATAAAAAATTATTTTTGATATTTAAAAAAAAATCAAAATAAATGAGAAAGAGAAACTTTGATCTAGGAATCGCTTAAAAGGGCGTTTTATCAAGTCTTTTATACGGTATACGATTACTTTAAATACTGCTTTCAAAATTAGAGTTTGTCCAGAAAAAAGTAGCAAATTACAATAAACACCAGGACCCGTCCTGTAGAACATGGTAAAATCGTTGCCAGATTTTAGATTTGAATCCCCATTTTAGTCCAATTTTACCTCCAAAAGTCCAAAAGGGAGGCCGAACGTTTGAACAAAACTACTTGGATTCGTAGTTTCTCCCACCCAAAAGCCAAAAAGAACTTAAAAAACATAGCGAAACCCATCATCTACTCGGATCACAGAGACAGAGAGATGGATGCTCCTCAGAGTGCGTTTAGCTCCACAGATGAAGCTCCATTTGATGGAGCTTTCAGAAATTGGAACGACTTTGCTGCAGCATTATCATACTCCTCATCACCGGAGCCCTCGTATAAGAGAATCTTATTCTCATCAAACAATAACTAGAAGAAACGCTGCCTACCACACTAGACCTGGAGACGAGGTGGAGTTAAAAGTGCCCCACCCTTAAAACCACACTTCCCTCCGGTTAGAATTTTAGGTTGGGGCTTGTCTTTCCTTTATAGTTCCCTCCGGTGTGGTTGGGCTCTCTAATAGCTTTCTGTGGAACCGTTGGGGGGTACAACAGCACCCACTAGGCCCAACTAGTGTGTTGTAGGTCCAAAATTCTTATCCAATTCGTGTTGATGCAGACAGTCTGACATATTACTTGTATGACACTAACAGAATATTGTGCAATGAATAGAGTTGAGGACTTTAGACAACAAAAATATGCATTTACTCCAAGCATATGTCAAAACACTCGAGAAAAGGAAGATTATCCATTCCCCACTCTATTCTATATGATGGAAGCGATATGGACGAAGGAAAAGGCAGAGTTGCAGTAAATTTTGGGCATTGCATTCTGTTATATATACTAGAATTTATGATCCAGAAGAGGCCATTCGCATTTAAAATTTAATACTATGGAAAAGCAATCATAGCCCCGAAAGACAAACACCAGCTGAGCTTAGAGTGTACCAGTACCTGTACAAGTCTACCGGTCGAGTAAAGAGGAGAAGAGATAAGTAATCCTGTATTCAAACTATTTAATTATCTAGAACGTTATGTGCTCCATTTGTCCTTTTGGCAATAATTCCTGGAAAAAGTGCACTATCCAGGTTGGATCAAGGGACACATAACCTGGAAGTCCGGATGACAAACCAATATTCAACTACTTAAGTGCCAAAAACCGGCTCCCTGGTTCAATGCAAAAGCAGAGTCAAGTCTTGAGGTCTTAGCTGCTCCTGGTTTCACCAATTATTTACTGATTTCAAAGGAAACTGAAATGAACTCTAGTAACTGCTGTAGAAAGAGATAACTAAAGGAGGATACTTATTATATAATCAGATAACACGGCATAAGGCATTGCAGCAAAGGCAAAACCAGAACAAGGTTGATGGAAATGTCTCCACAAAAACAAGCCACTGTTCAGGTGCCAAAGAGTAAGATTTTGAAGGGAAAGAGAGCAAGGTTGTACATAATTCGCCGTTGTGTGCACATGCTGCTTTGTTGGAGGGATCACGGAGACAAAAATCATCGGTAAAGTAAAATATTCATGCTAGATGTTATTTTAGGCATTAGATTGCAACAAAATTGTGATACCAACATACATATTTCTTGAGTAAATATCAATTTCAGAGTACAAATATGTGCATTAAGAAGATGACTGAGGAATTAAGACCTAACAGCAAATATAATGACAACAGATTAGGTTGAGATCATTAACAAATTGGTAAATGCATGAAGTATGGGAAATCTATAATGGTTCCGTTGCACCTACAGAGTTCCTGAGGCTAGTAACAAGTGAGTTTACTGCATTTTTTCGTCACACATGGACATGCAAGCACAAGAAGTGGAACATTAAGCTCCCTTGTCAACCATGACAGGATTTGAAATGAACTCAAAGACAACCAATCTTTAATGGCCACTAGACACCTGATTTACTGGGAAATACTGTTCCCTTCGAAGATAGGCAAGACTTATTGCTTTATCTGTGCCTAGTTAGAAATTGCCTTGATTTTCATTTTTCATTTTCCTTTCTTAATAGTGAAAAGCAAACGGAGAGAATAGAAGGAGAGACCAGTGCCGTTGAAGACATTTTATTGTGTTTGAGAAGCATGAAGTTGAAAGTTAAAACTAATCGCAATGCAAATACAAGCACTGAATCCATATGTTTATAAAGGCCCTAAAAAGATCTCTGCTGATTACTACCAAAGCACAACAGATGAAGCCTACTGCTCCAGAGTCAAGCAATGAGTTCCCCGAAACAAGGCCAAACCAACAATGAGCTCAATCCCAGAGCTGCATACGATAAATCACTGGCAAGCGATTCTGGCAGTTACTGCCACCATATCCTAATGAAACAGCCTAAAAAGAAAAGGTAAACGCTCTAAATAGCAAATGCACTAAAGCTTTCGGAATGATTTATGAAGCACTTAAGAAACTAATCCTCATCCCTAAAAACATTAAGTTATTGCATACCATTCACAAATTTGAAATTCAATAATCCAAAAATTCTTTAAAAAAAAGAATTCCAAATCAGTAATACCTTTAATTGATGCAAAATCTGGCATCTTCGGGGTTGTCGTCATCATCGGGGTCCGTGGTGGCTAGGTTAACGCAGGAGCAGCGCTCGAGAGACGAGAAGAAGGCGGAGACCACGGTGGCGCTGACCTAGCTTGCTACCTCTTCCAGCTTCTCGCGAGAGATCAGGCTCGGGGAGTTGTTGTCGCTGTTATCCATTCTTGCTCTGAAATCGATTTGATTTTCCACAATGAAAATTGATTTGATCAGGAAGATTTGAAGACAGTTGGAGAGAAGGCTTTGAGTCCTGATGTAAGAATTATGGAGGATTAGGACGTTGGCCTGTTTCTTTGTCGGTAATTAATTACGATGATTACGGAATTGAAGACACGTGTTCTTCGTATAAAAATAAAATTGATGTGTTCAAAGTTATCATAGTAGTATCATACCCTCCCCCGGAACTGACAGGGGTTCGATTCCCTGGATGCGCAGAATATACGGTATTTTCATATCTTAAATATTTTACTAAAAAATAATGTATTTAATTTAATTATTTACATTAGTGAGATTTTTATTTTAAACTTTTTGTGCAATGCTCAATAAGTCTTTGAACTATATAAGAAAGCCAATATAACTCTTATATTTTTATAAAGTCAGAGAGATTTTTATTTTAAATTTTTTAAGTGTAATATTTAATAAGTCTTTGAATTATATAAAAAAATTAATTTAACTCTTATATTTTTATAAAGTCGAAAAGAGAACATGAAGAGAGAGAAAGAGAGAGAAAAAAATACTAATAAATATTTTCTAGAAAATAAACGCATTCAATTATTTACTCAAGTGAGATTTTATTTTAAATTTTTTAGACATAATATCCAAATTAACTCTTGAATTAAACAAAAAACATCAATTTAATCTTTATATTTTTATTATGTTCAATTAAATTCTTATATTTTTATTTTAAATAAAATAAACTTTTATTACTAATTATTAAATAACTGTCATTAATCAAATATAACATGTTGATATGTTATTTAAAAGATGGCATTACCATATTATAAATGATGTGATAAAAAATATTTTGAGTTAAAAACATGTTATTTAAAAATATATTTTTTTAGACATTAATTAACCCATTCTTACATTTATTCCTACTACATGAATATCAAGCCTTGTTGAAAACCTTCTCGTAGAAAAATCCTTTGAGATAAAAATCATGAAAAAAAAGAAAAAAAAAAGTGCTCAACCTTATGTGTAATTGATACAACATATCTAAGTTGACACCTCACCTAACAAATCTAGTCTTCAATCAAACTTTGGTCTTGCATCTAAATGCTCCTTATATGCCATGGCATATCAGAATTAGCTCTCCAAATCATTTGTTTAGCATCTATTTCTATCGGCCATCGAGCAATAAAGTGTACAGGTTGGTTGACTTTTCTGTGGCAATATGGAAATATGCTTACAGCGAGTTCTTTTTAACAACTCAACACAGTCTTAAATAATAAGTCCCAATGGCCCACTGAGTTTTTCTTCTCTTATCCAACCAACCACCCCTTTCGTTTTCCAACTTCACTTCCTTTAGTTCAATTTTATCTAGATGACTTAGCTGCCATGACCAAGCTATAGCGAATATTATTTCACTTGCAGAATCTCGGATGTCTTCAATTATTTAAATTTAAAAATTATGTTTACATTTTTAAAGATAAATAAAATAAATTAGCATTTTAGATATATTTATAACCTATTAAATTACTATTGATTTTTAATATACAAAAAAATAATTGCTTTTATAATGTGATGTTGAGGCCACGGAAACATGAAATCAACATAACATTTGTTATTTTTACAACAAACTTTTAATGTGAAGGCTTTTGTGACAAAGATTAATTAAAACATCAATTAAGAGATTAATTAACTCTAAATTGTACATGAAGAGCCCAATTGGTTTAATTAAGAGACAAGTATTGAGTGAGGAATCCTTGGACATATGTGACGTCCAGCTACTTCATTTCAGACTCTCCCACCAAATTAACCGCCGTTTACCCCTTTTAAGACCAAAACTATTTTATATTAATTTAGTGTAATTTTCTTTTTAATTTAAAAAGATTACAACTAGAACTAACTAAAAAGGGGATATATGGCGAGCGTCTTCTGAAATCAAGTTGGAGACTCGCGTCTCCTCTCCGATCTTATTATAAAATGTCCTATTTTATATTAATTTAATGTAAAAGGGCGATACATGGCGCGCGTCTTCTCAAATCAGGTCGGAGACTCGCGCCTTCTCTCTGATCTTATTATAAATATGGCATTTATCTATGAGAATCGTTTATCCTCATTTCTTTGTGAGCTCGTCTAAATTCCAGGGTGTGTGAAGGTATTGATTGTATGTTATATTTGCCCCATTGGTTTGAAAGGTTTGCAAATTCTGATTCCTTGATGGTCTCACTTTTTTTTCTTACTGAATTATTGAATTATTGTTCATGATATATGCGATTTCCATAATTTGTTTCTCTAATTTTTGGGTTGACCTTGAGTCACTTCAAGTCTCTCACTAAGTAGTATGGTAGATGGTTCTTGTTACTAATGAATCTAGAATGTTTAACTCAGAATCGACGGCTGGTTCAAGAGAACTCGAAGATGAAGGGTTCCAGTTCCAATGAAGCAGCGGCGAAGACTAATCAGGTTCCCCTGCACAAAACCAAACGAAAAGGTCGAAAGCGTAAAGAAGCAGATCCTGTTGAAAGAAAGATAAAGAAAAATAAGTATGATCGAGATCGTCGGGCTGCATTAAACGTAAAAGAAAATTTTTTTCTCTATTCGTTTTTTGGGTTGCCATGAATTAGCATAATTAATTTGCCTTCTGTTTAAATGAAGCTTGAATTTCAGAGACTTCAGACCGTGGAAGCCCAATTCAAGCAAATGCAGGACAAGTACACGGAGCTGAAAGGAGAAAACGAAGAGCTCAGGTCTATGCGGCCGATTCTGGAAAATCACGTAATTGAACGTAATCCTTCTCTTCATGGAATGGTAACATCCCCTGTATCTTTTCTTCTTTCCTTTTGGTCGAAAAATGCATTCACTTTCTCTAGAGATAGGAGGGCTTTTTTTTTTAGTATATTTTTTGGGCCATCGCTTACTTACTTTCTCTAGCCTGAAACCATCCGATCCGGGCAAGAGGCCAGTGCTTGACTTTTCCCAAGCCGGCTAGCAAGCCCTAGCCTCGTCGAGCCAGATCTGGTCGGAAAGGAGAGAAGGAAGAAGAAGAAAAAAATGATACGTGCCGATATGTCATACATGGATAAAATCCATGAATTTAAAGGGATAATTCGATAAAGGATCAAGATGAAACCAATTTAAGAGGTCAAGGATTCAAATGAAACAATTCAAAAAGTAGGGATCAAAGTAGAACTCAAATAAAAAAGTTGAGAATTATGATGGGACTTACCTGATACTGTCATTTCTTTAGTATGCTCTGTTTTAATCTTTCTTCTCAATGCCTAAGTTTGTGAAATGTGGAATTAAATATCTAGGTCTAGTTTATGTTTTAGTTAACAGGTTTACATGATCCATGTTCATTAGGCAATTAGCAAATATAGGGTTAGATAGATCACTAATGACCAGAGAGCACTAAAAAGTTCTCAAGGCAAAGAACGAAAGATGCCTGCCTGTTTGTAGAACTTGAAGCTGGTAATTAAGCATCTTTGGGTGATTAGTTATGAATGTAGCTTTTGTTGGGAAGATATGAAATCTACTTCTGCCTTTAGTTTTTGGTTAATTAGTAGAATAGTCCATTGTTAGAAGAGTTGGAAACAAACTACCATAACTTGTTTACCATATCATCTGAATTAATATTTGTTGCTTCTGGTAAAGTTGGAACCAAGGTCATTTGACCAAAGATTTTCATTGCAGGGGTCATTTAATTGATTCCATTTTTGGGACCACTTGGGATTTATTGGCTTTCTATATAGTCCCTTTGTAGGAAAACCACATGTAATTAATCTATAAAAATTGATGGCAATATATTGGACAATAAGTTAGGGATTATATATGTTAATGTTGAGAACAAGCTAAACATCATTTTGAAGTTCTCACAAAAAAGAAAACAGACTTTGTTTTATCTTAACCTTAACAATATGTCCCTCGCTCTTTTCTTTTTATGGGACAAACAATACTTTTTCTTCTTATTATTATTTCTGTTTATATGTTTCAGGAAGCACGAACAAATCAGCTTTCTTCCGGCTGGCAACTCACCAAGGTACACAAATCTACATCACCTAAATCACATTGTTTCTCTGTTTAATATGGAATGGTAATATGAAAATTGTGACTCATGGGTCCTAATCCTCGAGCTGCTGATTTACTTATTACTTGTGTAATAATAAATTAGTAAAACAAAGATAAACAAGAGGTAACTTAACTTTGGTAATAATAAAAAGATAAAAGGGTGAGTAATAGTTTAGGTTATTGAATTTAAACTCTAGGTAATACTAGTATCCAAGCACCTTAATTATAAACGCCCATTAAACCAAAAATTAATGTATTAGTTTGGATTACCATTAATTCACGTGGTTGTTATGGCATAAAAGGCATTATTGGAAAATTAAGTAAATCAAAGATTGATTGACAATATGCATTAAATAAATAAGGGAAGTAGTTTTTACCGTCTCATAAATGTCACTATTTTATTCTCATGATTCAAACTCTAACCCTTAAATCCAAATCTCAAATTCTAACTCTTTCAGTATCCTCTCTGGATCAAGTTTTGGCACATCTCTGATCCATTTTTGTAATCTTTGGTTTTTGATTTGAAGATAGAGGAGCTCAAAAGACTTCACAATGTGGAGTCCCAATGGACGCAGCTGTGTACAGAGTTCAAGCAAATGGAGGAATATGTCAAGACCCTGCGAAACGCTACTGACTCTTTAGCAAATGACAATGAAATTCTGAATTCCAGGGTGACACTTCTGGAAAATGAAATAGAGGAACTCAGGAGTAACTTGCATCAAAAGGTGTTCCCTCGCTCTCTCTCCCTTCTGATGTCTATCATTTCCTTTTTCTTTTCTTATTTTCTTGTTGGGTTTTTTTAGACTTTAAAAATAAAAACTTATGAACTATATATGATATTGTTTCAACTAAACCCTTCATCTTATGTTGTTATATAAACATCTCAAATTTCGATTCATACTCAAACAAACTCTTAACCATACTCAAATAAGTCTTTAATCTGAACAAAAAATTAATTCCTGTCAGACATAATATTAATTAATATTTCTTAAAAAACCTCTTAATTTTAAGGAAGCTATTTAAGCTTTTCCATTTTCTTCTTCCTCTTTCTCCCTTTATCCTTCCTTTCCTTTCCCCTCCTCTGTCTATAAGATTTACCTAGAACTTTATCACTGTCATCATGATCACCTATCATTGCTGGCTGACGGTTGACGACCGTGGTTGTAGTTTCTCAAATTTTGGATTTAAGTTCTGCCACGTTAGATATCCAAGTTATATGCCATGTGAACATAATTATGTCAATTGACATTAAATTTGATGGTGATTAATTTTCAATTAAGATTATTGACTTATTTGACTACAAACCAAAATTTAACGGCTCTTAAGGGTATAAATTAAAATTTCAAAACTCTTTTAAATACGATAAAAAGTGAAGACCTTAGTTGAAAAAGTGATTATAGTTTAGGAGTTTTTTGCTATTTAAGTGGTTTTTTTTTTTTTCACAAGAGAAAAAGGCCAAGAAGAAAAACAAGGCTCACAATATTGTGGAGCACATCATGAGTTTATATTTGATAAACTGTTAGTATATAAATTTTATTCATTATCAATGAATCAAATGATGTCATCTCATAACTATGTAAAGATAAAAATTTTAAAATTCTTCAAAAATAAAATAAGTATTAATTTTTGAAAATTCTAAATTTTTAAATTCATTTATTATCAAAGTTGTAGTATTTGATTTATTAATAGTGTATCATATATATATATATATATTGATAATTCATTAAACGGAAATCCCACTTTAAATGGGTATACTAACTATTCTCTAGTTTAGAGTCAATGCAGCTTAATGTAGAATAAAGGAAGGTTAAGTTCATTTGATTATATTACATTTCAGTTAAGGAAAGTCTTTGGTTGCGGATGACCATCTATATGCCTTGACCCAAGAGCTTCGCCATCTCATATAAATCTCATTTCTTTAGTCTCATATAACTCTTTGGGTATGTTTTTGTACTTATTTTTATCCACTTTTGTAATCTTTGGTTTATAATCTGGAGACGGAGGAGCTCAAGAGGCTTCAGAATGTGGAGTCCCAGAGCATGCAGCAGAGCACACAATTCTGGCAATTGCAGGAAGATTTCACGATGCTGAGAAACTCTAATGACTCTTTAGTAAAAGAGAATGAATTCCTGAACTCCCAGGTGCCACTTCTGGAGAATGAAATAGAGCAACTCAAAAGTATTTTGCATCAAAAGGTGCCCCCTCGCTCTTTCTCCCTTCTGTCTGCTCTTTCCTTTTTTCTTCTTTTGTGTTTTTCTTTTTTCTTTATTTTTTTCTATTAATTGGCATGAGGGAAAAAGGCAAGA